AGACAGTGGGACGAACAGGGTCCTTAATCGGTCTTCTGCTCAATGGCGTGGTCGCAAAGCAGCGGGGAGATGGCAACAATTCGGTTTCGCAGAAAGGAAAGTTATTCTATTCGTAATCGGTAACCTGCAGGACTAGGAGATTGATTTTGTCCAGTTTTAACCATTGACTAATCTGGTAGGAGTATCACTCAAGTGGCCCAATAGTATACCCAGTGTGACACAGGTTGATACACTTAGCGGCACAGGCAGGATTTCTTGTGACAGATGCTGACACAATATGGAGCCAACCAGAGATGCAGACTGTGATGGAAGTCGATACGTTTAGTTGCCAGTCACCAGCACAGACCGTCTGTGAAACTAATAAACAAACGGAGGATGAATCATCATCATCATCATACACATTAGCTAGAGGTGGGGAACACCTCAGCTACTGTGCTGCAATACACAGAAAAAAGGAGAAAAAATGCAACTGGTGCAAGCTGGCTGAGCTACCGGTAACGGATGGGCATCGTTCCAATAAGCTACCAGCCGGCTACTGTGCATCAAAAAATACTATGCGAAATTATATAAAGCTAAATAATGAGATCGTGGTTGGAGGGGGAGGCTAAGAGGGACGGGGTGGGACAAAGAAACTCACAGCACGAACGCCACTGAGGTCGGCTCCTAGCCATTTCAGCAAGTGTGTCCAACCAAACGTGTTCATCGTCTTTCGGACCCCAACCAGGGAGCCAAGACACTCCAACCGAAGCCAGCTCAGAAGTGAGGGCCTTCATTCCTCTGGACCAAGTCATCGCTTGGCCACCCCTCCTCTTCTTCCATCCACACCCCCGGCGCGCAAACAACACACGTCGCGGAAGTCGGTGAACTGGCATGAGTAACACGTAGCCGAGCCATCGGAGCCTGGTGCGTGAAATGACGGTGCTGAGCGGTTCATTTCCTTTTTCTGTGCCGTAAACAAGGCGTCGAACACGCTCGTTACTCACGCGGTGTTCCCACCAGATGTGAGATAAATTACGAAGGCACCGGTGGTCGAACGTAACTAGCCTCTTCAGATCCGCTGCTTTAAGCGGCCAGGTTTCACAACCGGCCGAATGGTCTGCACGTTTGCTTTGCAACCATAAGGTCGCCGGTTCGAATCCGCGCAGGGGTGGGCGTCCTCGCGGTATACTCAGCCCGCGCGCGACTGGTGGTGGTCGCGCAGCAGCGAAGCGCCGTTACGGCGTACAGCTGACACATTATTTATTATTATTATTACAGTAGGGTCGAACCTACTACTGCATTGTACACTCTACCCTTCAGGGCAAGAGTGATGTCGCGCCGCCATAAGTGGCGAAGGTTAGCAAAAGCGCCCCGAGCTTTTGCTATACGGTTCGTGATATCATCCTCAATCCCACGGGCGCTGATACAACTTCCCAGGTGTTGAATCTTTGAACGACTTCTAGCTGATCCCCATCAGCGGTCAGCGTAGGAGGCGGTCCAGTCCAATCTTGGAGGAACGCTTTGCACTTCGAGGGTGCGAAGCAAAGCCCGAAGTGACGGTCAGCTAGTGCTAATCTGTCCAGTGCCGCATGACACGTTTGTGAACCGTCACAGATTAGGGCAATATCGTCAGCATACTCTAAGTCAATAAGTCGTCCTCCTGGGAATAGCTCCACACCTTCTAAGTCGTGTCCTGTGAACGCGATGTCCATGACTTCGTCAACAGTGAAGTTGAAGAGGAAAGGTGACAGCGGGCATCCTTGGCTCACGCCGCTGGAGATACTAAAGGGCGACGACAACTTGCCGTATGCCCTCACTCTCCCGGAGCTGCGCGCATATAATGCTCGGATAATATTCACATATTTCTCACATACACCTTTCCTGAGTAGACAGTCCAAAGTGCATGTCTATCCACCGAATCGAATGCACCTTTGATATCGAGGAACACGACAACGGTGGGCCGCCAATATATGTGACGGTGCTCCAACAACTGACGCAAGGTGAAGATGTGGTCAATGCAGCCACGACCTCGACGAAATCCAGCTTGCTCTTCACGAATCTGGCTTTCACGAGGGCCAGTCAGTCTGTGAAGGATGACAGAGGCAAGCAATTTAGAGGCTATCGAAATCAGACTGATTCCTCTATGGCTGCCACATTCCGATCGTGAGCCTCCCTTGAAAATTGGGACTATAACGGAGCGGCTCCAATCGGTTGGGACAGTTTCCTGCTCCTACAGTCTCACTAATAACTCGTGTAAATCATCCACAAGAGCAGGTCCCCCGAATTTAAAGAAGGCTGGAGGAAGATCATCAGGTCCCGCGGCTTTATTTAACTTCAACAGCTCGATCTCACGTTCGACTTCTGAGCGAGAGAGTGGATCCAAAGGGACAGCCCACGGAGCAGGGCGATCACTCGCCGGCGAAGAATCGAACAATTCTAGCCGATTAAATTGCTTTTCAAAATACTCAGCCCAACGCTCCAAACGTTTTGACAAATTGTGTATAGGCTGTCCACTCTCATCACAAATTGTTTCACTAACACCAGGCCTCCTGCTGCCCGTTTCCCGTATCAGACGGAATAACTTACGATGGTTGCCAAGGGCAGCGGCCACTTCCATCTCTGACGCACGATGAGACCACCAAGATCCGCGATCTCTCTTCAGGCTAGCGCGGAGTTTTGCCCGGAGCTCTTTGCGAGTTTCATTGTATTCGCTTCCAGCCAGAATATGCCGGCGAGCATCTATAAGTTCCAGAGACTGTGAAGAGACCCAATGTTCATGTTGGTGATTAGACATACCACATGGGGATTTGCCTGCTGCTAGTAAGGTCTCGTGAATATGAGACCAGTGACCTTCAATTGCATCCAGTGAGCGCTTATTCAACTCGCATGACAGCGTACTTCGATACGCATTCAGAACAGCTGGCTTCGCCAGTTGGCTGGTGTCAATGCGCTCACACCGTCGTCTTGGGCGTCCGCCAAAACGCATCCGCAGGTCAGCACATACAAGTGCATGATCGGTGTCCACACCTGTGCTCCAAATCGAGCGACAGTTTTGGACGCAGCCTCTCCAGCGGTAACTTATCGCAATGTGATCGATTTGCGTCCATAGCTGGTTCGAGGCTGGTGGGCGCCAAGTCACACTCCGGCGGGTGCTGTGTCGGAAATTAGTGCTCGCAAGAAATAAGCGAGCATCCTCACACAAATGAAGTAACCGCTCACCGTTATCATTACGGGAGCCTACACCATGTTGGCCGCCCAGATGCAGCTCATCTGTGGATAATTTTCCAACTTGAGCGTTCGGACCTCTAGCCAGCACTACAGTGTCCGAACTTCTTCTGTGGCGAAGGAGCTCGTTCAGTTGACGATAGAAGTCGTCTTTTACCGAGTCATCGCTACAGTTTGTCGGTGCATAGGCAGCGATAACGAATAGACACCTGTTAATCCCACGCAACTTCGAAGTTTTGAATGAGCCTGTCAATCGGACTGCACATATCCGGCTACTGATTGGAATCCAATCAACCAGAGTAGCTTCAGCCCGGGGACTCAGGGCAATACTAACACCGGCTTGGCCGGTGCTCGAAGCTGCATCGTCACCGGATAGGCGCAATGAGAAAGTGCTGCTAGTGTCACCTGAAGGGGATCGCAGTGTGAGTACAGAGCTCGAGTCTTGCAGGCGGGTCTCCGATAAGCAGCAGATATCGATCGAGAGGGTCTCTAATGTTCGAGCAAGTGCTGCCTGTTGACCGATTTGAAGCAATGTGCGAACGTTGAGGCATGCCAATCTGAAGGAGGATCGAGGGCTCCAAATGGAAGCCGATGAACTGGAATGGGCCGCTTGGTTGGACATGGGCCTGTTGACAGGACAGGAATGACGCTCCGCGTTCGCATGTGAGTTGAAACTAAAAGACAAGCGACTATTGAAGCAAGGTGGGGGAGGGCCGAGAATTGGGGGGTTGAAAACAGGGGGATAAAAGTGAAGCTGGAACGGGACGATAAGGGTGAAAAAGCGCAGGAGGGGGAATAAGAAGACGGGAAGGCTTGAGCAGTAGCATCCAAACCCCTATCTACCCTGCCCGATGCAGCAGATAGGGCACCGCTGATTATCCTCTGCGGTGGCCAGAGCATCAGAAATTTGTTTGAAGTGCGATTCATTGTATTGCGTGGGCAGGATACTGTCAGGTTGCCCAGGCCTAGACAGGAGAATGATTAGGGTTCTCAACCAAAACCTTTGGTTCAAAAACCTGTCCGCAAGGCAGCGGGTTTGGCACTGGGCTACAAGGAGTGAGTTTTAAGGAATAAGGAGCCACCCTCATTCCAACCCCCAACCTGGAGGACCAGGAGGCTGTTTGTCTGGCCACTAACCATTGACCAATCTGGTATGAGTGACTCTGAAGGTGCAAAAATGCACCACCCAGCATAGCTCAATGGATCTCTGAGGCACGCAAACCATCGCACCACGGTAAGGTCCAGCCTCATTGCGATGGCAGCACTTCGTATAGCGGTTAACTGACTGGACAACCAGTCAGAGACATGGACCGTCCAGGGGCAGAAGGCCGCTGTTTGGGCGGGCGAAGAAACATGACAGATACAGCCAATCAGCATCACCGGGAGTCAGAATAAGAGCACTTGTATCGAAGTCACAGACCGCGAACGGGTCGCGGTTGCATGAGCGACCCAGAACCAAGGAACGCAGACCAATGAATGCAAACGCATTGCCAGCGCGGAAACCAGTGAGACGCGACGCAGAAAACAGTAATAAGTAGTATAAAAATAGCATGGCTCGTCAATAAAGATTTTCGTGTCGCTGCAGTCTTCCTTCTGCTTAAGGGAAAACCGCTCGGTCGAAAAGGTAGGCAAAGTGCTGTACGACGTTAAGGTTCGACCTCGCCGCAGCAGGTGTTTAACTAATATACCAAAAAAGCATGTGATTTCAAGTAAACTAAGTAGGTGAACTCTGTCTGGCGTAGGCCATCAACACCAACGGTATGGATGAGAAAGGAAACGATAAAGCGAGTGCTTACCGGATCTTGTTCCCCGTCAACTTCGTAGAAAATAAGTTTATCTTTCTGATATATCAGTTTTCCAGGAGGAGATCGCCAAGTACATTCGTTCTGGAAAGCAAACAGGAGTGGTGTAAAGCAAAGCATTGATATGATCTTGCCTACTAAAGAGTGGAATTGAAAAGTAGAAAAAAGGAATGAAAAAGACCAACTGCCTATAATGGAAGACGATGAGGGCAAAGAAAAGAACGCCGGAGCAATGAAACTAGTCCATCATCTAAAAGGTGAGAGTTCAAAATGTACCCTTTGACGACATCAACTAAAGTTGATTCACGAAGTATGACAAAACGCTGTATTTTGGTGGTTTCCGCTTATGCTCCCACCGACTGCAGTTCTGATGCTGCCAGGAACACATTCTACCACGTAGTAAACAGGCTGCTTCGTAGCGTTACCAGTTTAGATATCGTTGTTGTTTCAGGAGATATGAATGCACAAGTAGGTCGCCTAGGGACTTCAGAAGCTCAGCTAGGTGGTAATTATGAGCTTAACTCCGAACGGACGGACTATGGCAAATGTCTGATCCACCTGTGGGCGGAGCACCAGTAGTTTCTTAGTAGCACTGCTTTTATACACATTGGGTGCCGAAGTGCCACTTGGCGTCCTCCTGTAGCTGGCCATCGATGGACCCAAATTGATCACATTGCCATAAGTTACAGGAGCTGTGATTCCATCCTAGATTGTCGCTCGTTCTGGAGGACGCGTCGACTCTTATAGTGCCTTCGTTTTTCCGAACATCTCCCTCAATTGGCAAGTGAGAGGTTAACGCAGCCATAGGTCAAGCAAACCTACCAAGATGCTCTGCGTACCGAATTTTCGCTCTCATGTTCAAATAACAGTGAGCTACAGTGGAATAAGATCTCGGCTCTCATGCAGAACGCAGGAGCGCCTACTTGTAGCACTATCAAACAGCGTCGCGACAGTCACTGGATATCTGAGAGGTCGGTTGACCTATTGGAATCAAAAAGATAACCCCCGCCTGGTTCTGAACAAGGTGTTATCAGACGGACTATTAGGCGCGAACTAAAGCGGAGCCTGCGTGTTGTTAAGGATACCTGGTGGACCAGTCGGGATCAAGAAATGGAGGGGGTAGGAGCAGTAGGCAAACTCTTTCAACCGAGCTGCACCACTGGTCCCAGGAAACCATGCGTCAGTGAGAAAATTAGAGACAGCGTGGGTGCACTGATTCACAATAAGGAGTGCCGTATGAGTTGTTTAGCGGAGCACATTCGAGATCAGTTCAGTTGGCCTCCTTCTTCTAGATCTCTTCCTACTCAAGTGATGCAGGATGAACCATGGATGGTTAGTTTAGAGCAGGCATTCTCAACCTTTATTCAGCCGTGGCCCCCTTTTAAACCTTTCCGTTTCTCATGGCCCCCACCTTTGAGCACCACAATTTTAGCAATCCGGAACCCATAACAGATGAAAATCTGTGATCATCAGTGGTCATATTGGTATCGTTTATGATGACTGAATTGTTAACGTTCGTATCAGTGCTCTTTCCCTATAAACATCATATTTTTAATTTTCACAGCCTCAAGATAACATTCATTCTGCAGTAACATCATGCAACTTGTTTGTAATTACACAGAAGTTATCATTAATAGTTAACATTATATTTCATTATTGTTGGCAGTTAAATGTAAGGCACGTTATACGTTAGCTTGTGTAGTAACTTGGTAACAGGATGTTTGCCCAGATATTAATGCGTGCGTTTAGATCGATATCCGTGAGCAAGCTTGATTATGTCAGGCTCCAGACTTGATAACAAGAGTCGAAGATTCCTCCGTTGCTGTGATGTCCAATCTGTTTCTAGATTTTGTCAGAGAAACTACTCTGCTGAATCCACATTCAAGCAAGTACGTAAATGGAAAAGCAAGGAAATATAGTTCAGCTATTTCCCACAATCTGGGATATCGACTAGGGACATCAGTCTTTATACAAAACCCCTTTCATATCGCGTGAATTTGGATCTTGCTAGTGTGTCACTTTGAAGCTCTATAAACTTTTCCTGGATTTTAACACCAACATTGCAGGGCTGTACATCAAATGGATCTAAAATCCAAATCGGGATTTCCATGTCAATCAGGTCATGAAACCTGTCTTTCATTTCTTTTCGGAGTTGTTGTAAATGACTGGCATAAACAATCAAGTCTTCATCCTTCAGCTCCTTCGTGACTAGGGAGAATTGGGAACCGTGAAAATTCCCGACGTCCGATGTTTTGAGTACACGCTTCCAGGTTTTTAAGAAAAGCGAAAATGGCATCTTTGCTCGAGATGAGATTACACAACTTGCCTTGAAGAGATTTATTTAATTAGTTGAGTCTTTTTTTAAAAACAGTAGCAGGATAAAACACGTCGGGGTTAGCTGTAAACAGTTTTCTTTCATGGTCAGTTCCAGAAAGGAATGTGCTGATGGTGCCTAAACACAACCAAACGGCGAAGACAGTTGCCTTTGGAGAGTCATCTAAGATATGTATGCAACAGTAGAACCTGGAAACTTTCATTGTTCGCACACAACTGTTGGAAATGACGGTCTTGAGGGTGCGATTTGATATCTTTGACTTGCCGAACAACCTCATCGTGGTGCCAACTGGGTAGTTTGAGATTTTCTCGTTCCAGCGAATGGTTCGGCGGCAGTGTTCCAGGAGGTGGTGGATTTTCGCCTGACAAGCGTTCTCCCTATAAAAAGCCACATATGTCCGTTTAACAACACTGTGACGTGGCAGATGTGACTCGCCACTAACTAAAGTCACTGCCGCTTGCTTTATACTGGTGAAGCACTACATTCCAGCAACTCAATGCTGAAATTGTGGGGAGCTCGGGCCCTTGTTTGGCAGGCGAACAAACGAAAGGCACATGAACTGAGCAATCAGTCACCGGTTCCCAATGGGCGGAATTCCCTGAATTCGTTCTGCTGCCTTACGGGCAGGCTATTCGGCCAAAGACTCGGGGTGGTGTCTCCTAAGTCAACACCCTACTTCGGCTCAGGCAACCGGGTAGTATCCCGCACTTCGACGAAACCATGGGCTCCGATGTGTTGTGTTGTGTTTTCTTTTACTATGTCTGTACCTTCTTTGGAGTCCCATGGTTTCTGATGGCTCTATGTCTATTCGTAGACGGTTGCATATATATATATATATATATATATATATATATATAATGGTTGTTAGTGAATCGTTTAAGTGCGCACCCAAGTTCTCAGTCATCAGGTGCTATGGAGGAATCACACAGTGAACTGTGTGCAATAGAAGGGATAACATTTTTTAGATGGGCAATAAATCCTTTATGTCTCCCAACCGTTGCGGCAGCATCATCTGTTGCACATGCAATTAGATTCTCTATTGGGATGGAGTTTCCAGTCAGATAGCTATTGACTACTTCAAACATAAACTGGCCCTTTGTATGAGTTTTAATTCTCATAGCAAACAGCATCGCTTCCACTAATATATTGTTATTGAAGAAGCAGACATATGCCACGAGAAGAGTGTCGTTGTCAGGTAAAGTACATTCATCTACGTGTAACGAAAATTTTCCGGACTAAATAAAGCAATTAAGGTACATTTTATATCGTGCGACATTTCATCTATTCTCCTGGATACAGCTGAGTTGGTGAGTGGAATGGCTTGAATTGCTTCTTGTGGAATAATATTTATCAGGTCAGACATTGTTAATACTGAAGGCAAGATAATATTTTCTCCAACATTATGTGGACTGCAATTTTCGGTAATCAAGTTGCTGAGTTTATGAGACGTCGTAAGTTCATTCGCCATCCTTTTTGCCCTGCCAGAGACCAGTGCTTTTAGAATTGGCCTGTTTTCGAAACTATCCCGCAGCTTTTTGAAAGAATCTAGAGACTTTCTGCTTTCGTCCTTATAAACCCTTTTGAAATGATTTTTTCAGTTCATTTGGTCGCACACTTTAATTTGAAAGTGTTTGGGCAAATTAGACACAGATAGATTGGGGTTTTGAGGTGATGTGATAAATTCAAAAGACAGTTATTTCAAGAAGTACTGACGACAGTTCTTTGTTGAGGAGCTCATTTCAGATGTCTTTGTAAACTGGTAATAGGTAAGGTAACATTGCTGTTGTTTTAATTTTATTACAGTTTTATCACGGGTATTAAAAAACGTTATTCGACAAGGTGAAACACACAGGTAGTACGAATGATTGGTGGTACCCAAAATTTATTCTTGCTTGTAAGAAACGAAATGTGGTAAGCATACATGCAACATCTGTTGGTGGCTCCAACGTTAAAATGTAAGTGTAGAAACATTGGTAGAGGCGATCCAAAGGTGGTTTCTGAGAATGACTGAAAATACCGTGGATAGTTTGAGGTGACTGAGGAAAACTAGTTGACAAAAGCTAGTGAAGAAAACAAATAGAACTCAGAAAATGACAGTGCTCATAGGACACACATGCATTACAGGAAATCTGTGGCAAACAGTGACAAGAGGTAAAATGGAGGACAGAAGTGACAAACACGCAAAAGAAAATGCCGGATAGTTCAAGAAACCATCAACAACGAAACTAATAACGTACATCGGATATTGCGAAATATGACGACCAATGCGTGTTGGCAAGGCATTCGATTATTATGAGTGTTATGAGAAGTATTCCTTTGTATACATTGGGTTATATATACTCACCAAAGAAACCGGACTTCCACACGTATGATGTAAGCTGACAAAACTATTCGCTGTTTTGAAGAATTCAGCTGAACTGAGTGTTAAAAATGCGTTATAAAGCGTCTGATTTCTTTCGACTCTTAATCGAAACGGACGAACCTTCTTCAAAGATAGCAGCCCATATGTGCAGAGTAGGCAACCGAATTCGGAACGTTGCGGGCTAACGTGACCTATCCGCGAGCTGAGACTGCGATGGAAAACAGCGTAATCTAGCACGAATGCATTGAGATCCAAGAAAAAAGACTGGCAGTTAGAAAGAGCTTTTTACTAACTCAGTCAATGCGAAGCATGCCTTCTAAACCCTCATATGTATGGCTTCATACAACAGCAGTGTAATGCATAAACTACAAAGGAAAGCGGATGTTG